CCACTGACCTTGGCCTTCCACGTTGACCAGTTCTCACCACACAATTGCGGGATCGACACCTTGTCTCCCGCCAATTCAACTACACTCTCCCTTAAACGCAAAGAAACCAAATCCTCCGCTCCTTTTCCTCACAAGCCCACCGGCCCGCGAGCATTCAAATTCTGGCCCTATAGACAGGCAAAATTGAATCTGTGCTTCCTCTTCACAACCAAGCGTTGTAGGCCCATAAGCTGTTGAAAATTATGGTAGGGAGTCGTAGTGTAGTTGAGTTACTTGTCATCGGGTCTTATCGTGTTGCCCGGCACCCATGCTCATCACTCATCAATGGCAGCCATGCATCCCAAGAGGAATACACAAAGCACCTCACAAGCGGCTTCCTTCTCTCCAGAAACTTCTCTTACTAATGATGTATCACATTAGTAGTTTCCACCACCATATGTCTTACGGGTCTCTCCCGTTCCACTAGGCTCACTAGCCTACTAGGCTTACTAGCCTAAGTCACACATCACTAGGCTCACTAGCCTAGCTCACAGTCACACTCAATCTTAGCCTTCGATATTTTCATCTGCGGCTGACACTGACGGCCGCTCTCAAGCACAGGTAACCGCCAAACCGCCTAACGGTTGACTGTCCAACCGCCATACACGCACGCCGGCGCTCACTAGTCCAAACTACACGGGTCGAATCCTAATCACATAGTAACTCGGCTGACTATAATCTTCGAACTTCTAACAGAATGCAATGACGAAATTCAAACGAAGCGTTTACTGCTCAACATAGAATATTGATCCGCCGACAGATGTTAATAGACAAATTGGGAGTCAAATATACGAGCTTAATGCTTCAGTTAGTGGGGTTCTAAGCTTTCGTTTCAGCTGCAATCGCTTTGAATCACCTTTTGACTGACGATCGGCAGCGCATGCACGGGCAAGACCAGGGCCAACAGAAGATGAAGGTTGGTGCACAGGTGCAAACGACATTTGCCACACCAGTGAAGCAGGTGGGTCTCGCACTGTAGTTTGGAGCCTTCCGCATTTTCCACGAGGCTCAGGTTCCAAGTGAACCGCTTGTTAAACGCTTTGTTATTGCTGGGCATAATGTGAGCGCACCGCGTGACGCAACCGCTAGCTTTCCTTGGCCCTTCAATGAGATCTTTCAGTCAGTGAGTGTGGGCATGTCGGCGTTTGGCCATTTGGGCACTGATTATTTGTTGCAGACGACCCTTCATACACATCCGCGGGGTTTTGAGGCATGTTGCCATCGCTATGCAAAATCGGGACTGGTCTTCCAGAATTGCCAGTCCCGGAGGTCGCTCCGTAAAAGATGTGGCCCCATCGAGCTGTCTCTGTGCTTGTGCATTATTTTTCCAAAAATTATTGAATCACTTACATCGCTTGAAAGTAAGTCTGAAGCAAATACATATGGTTCGGCTCCCGCTCAGTGTTCAACAGCGCAACCGCGCTTCCGTTTGGTGGGCACAAACCTCTGTGGCCGTTGGTATATCAAACTCTGACCCTGCTCTCGTTCGTCCGCAAGCAGACGACGACTTTGAGGTGCAGGTGGCGAACTTAGGTTCCGTGGGTTCACAAGACGTCGTCCATTTGCACCCCGTATTTGAGGTCGACCAAAACCCAGAAAGCAGTCAGGACTGCAGGCGCGAACAATGGGGGCAAAGGTGCGTGTCCTCTCTTTTCTCTAAGCGGACAACGTTCCCTCTGCCAGCTAAGCCGCCACAGCGGGCGCTGCTGCCTTTTGCATTTAGTTGCGGCATGCAGCCTGCTTGCAATGCGTTGCTGAGTATTTTGGAGCTGTGCTGCCAAAAATCAAAAGAAGGAGTCAGGCCTTTCGTGGTAAAGCTTGCTTCTTCCGACATGATTCTCTCGCTGTTGGACCAGGTAAAGAATAACCACGATGCCTTCGGGCGAGTCTTTACTCAACTGGCAAATTGTAGTATTGCCCATTTTTATTCCCCAGGAGCGCGTCATCTGCTTGACACGGATTCGGGGCATGCTGGCGCTGCCGTGCCAGCATCTGTGCATCTGTAGAATTGCGCCAAGACGCTGCAATACCAAAGCAACAACTTTGCTGCCTTGCTTGCTTCTTGAGTTGCTGTAGGAGAGTCCGTAAGTTGATTTTCCAGATTTTTTAGAGAGGGTCCCGTTTTGAGGGGATTTAGAGCGGCCCACTAATGGTAGCACCATTGTCATCACTTTGGGCCTTCATCGGATGACTTCACATGCCATGTTGCAACTTCGGGGACCTATTGCTGACGTTCGTTTTCCACGTGCAGCCGCTACCATGGTAAAGTCGCTTTTTGTGATCCGAGTCTCAAACGGCAGAGCAGGGACGGCAACCGAGCGATATGGAGAAACGAGCGCGGTGGGAAGAGGCTCCAAGGGGCCTGTCACTGCCTGTAAAGCAACAGCACGGGCACACCCAGCCTGGCCTTGCATGCTCAGGCTCTGAGGCTCCTAGAAACTGGATGGCGTTAACTGTGTAAATAAAATGAATCCCACGAGTCCAATTGGCTACACCAGGATCGGATTTTAGACTCTTGAAAAACATTGAGAGCAACTTCCGATGCAAGTCGGAAGTCGGACGGGGGTTTGTGCTTTAGCAGTAAAGAAGGCATTGGTACAGAGAAGCAATCGTCACCCTTATACCGATTGCATGTCGAGCTTTCGAGAGATTGCCGCAACCTCTCGAAAGGTTGCTGACGAGAGAGTCTGTAAAGTACACTGAATTTGACAGCTTACTTATAGGATGATATAGAGAACGAAGGAGTTGCCCACGTAGGCTTGAGAAGCGCTCTCAAAGCTTAAAGCCAGAAACAGCTCAGCTGTGCGTGTGCATTCCGCAACGACCATTAAGTAGATTCTGCAGAGTAGGTAGTTATGATTGACATGAGATTGAACGTGTTGAAGTTGAATTTAGGCTAGCCCATCGCCGTTTGATGACCGATGCGTCAACTTCCCGAAACATCTGGTACATGTCACACGAGGTCGATCGACACGACGACAACTCGTTTCATTTTAGCTCTGACGAGTCTTGTGCTGCAATGACACAAGAGAACTTTTGAGCTAGACCTAGCTTTCGCATGCATGCAATATGGACTCATCAAGGTATGTACGGTTCAGTATACATGCCGTGCTTACGTGTCCGGCCGGCCCCCGGGTACATATACACGGCAAGTGCGTGGGCATATATGTCACCACGCATGCTGGTACTAGGATCGAACCGTGATCCAGTGTTATAGTCGAACATCCAGCTGGGCAATACATATAATGCATAAAGCTGATTTCATAGCGCGTATTCATGTTTCGCTGTCAACATATCATACTAGCGCGCGTCATCATTCAACTGCAACGAGCGAGCCATTTGCTTAACATCAATTACAAGCACTAAGATCGATCTTATATTCCATGCAATGCATGGAAATTGTGATGATTATCATTGTTGCAAGTGATGGGCACATCGATCAGTATGTGCACGTAACTGATAATGGCTTGCATCGAAGCTGGCGTTTTTTCTAACAGCGCTCGCATCCAGTTTTTGAGCCACCTACACCATGCATGACAAGGTAACTAGGCTGGAATTGCATAGCCAATATGAGAGAGCTGCCAGCAACGCACCATTTCTTGTAACAGGGCGTCCAAGCAATCTGCTTTATTATTTGCGGATTGAAACAAAATCATAACCATACTTTGTGGCCCATTAAGATCCAGCCCGTCTGTCAAGCGGCTCCGTAGAATGTTGTGTGCAACGCTACAACAACAACAACCGGGGTGACCAAGGATCTAGTGACAGCCAGACAATCTCTGCTGAATCGGCCTGTCAATCCAACAAGCATGGCGCACAACTCTACAGCCAACTTCAGGTCCAAGATTGACAAAGCTTTTCCGCTTCCCACCCAATTGGCAGGAACCAATGGAAGTCAATACAGCTGGTTGCTCCGCAACAATAGAGATCAACAACACCGAAGTTCCGTGCTTAGGATCCCGTTCACTAGTGCACATTTCGGCTCTCGTCAATCCGGATCTGCAGCGTCGCCTCCGGCTTCGCTCCGGGGGGTCCGTCCTTGTAGAGCCCCGGAAGGTACGCTTTGTACGCCGGCTGGAAGCGGGCGCAAAAGTCCTCAATCTGGAGGAGAAGGTGGAATCAGAGGAAGAAAGAAACGAAGCACACTTCCGTGACAGAGCAGCATTCGGAAAGGCACACGATGTTCCCAGTTGGGCAGTGACAGGATCCCACCGCGGATGACCATCGCCAACGACTCCCAATGCTGGCAGTGCGAGCCTGAGACTTGCCGGGAGTGATTCCACTGAAGTGCGCAAGATCCGAGAACTCGCATTGTTGCCCGCGTAATGCTCACTGCCATCACCAAACATCACATACCCTGTCCTCGTAGGTATTCTAAGAATTCCGCAATGGCTTTGGCTAGGTGGTGGTCTCAGTTCCAACAAGCCCGGCTGCAATTACGGCAGCTTTTGAGCTACTTCTGACGCTTAGTAACATTCTGCGAACAGTGCTCGCTGACTTCTTCTCACCTGTTCGTCGGTCATCCCCGTTTTGCCTTTGGCTCGCATGGCATGCTCGGCCTGCCGCAGATGACGGACGCATCAGGTGTGTTCAACTTCTTACGTCTACTCATACTTTTCCCTCTCTTTGATATTTTGTTCTTTCTTTGCTTATGTCTTTTACAACACTGGATCCCGTCAGCATGATAGTGGCAGCAGTAGATCAATAGTTGATCCCGGAACGAATCATTTCTCGAAATTATGCAACGACAGTCTTCTGTTGCCTTGCATGCACCCTTCGCGTCAAGGTACTGGGACAAGTCCGCGGCCAGTGGCCAGACTTTGCGAGGGATGTGCAATGCTCACGCAAACAGCCGAGTCTGACATGTAAGCAGAACAGCAAGATATGGAGGACGGCCTGGAGAGCGCGTAAACCTGGAATATCAATCCGAAAAGCGGAGCGGCGCGAACGGGAATGCACGGCACAAAACGAAGTGCCCCCGTGCAACGAGGTATCACTCCACTATGTCAGACATTGCGGCTTGACCGGACTCCTAATCTCGACGATACCTAACGCAGAGCCTGACCTGTGTCCAAACCATAGCCGACGGAGGGCTCGCATTCTGTGATCAGCACTGATCGGACGGATTCAAGGCAGCCAAGGTTCACCAAGAGTACCAAAGGGTTTGGAAGTGCGCGGACGGCCATTCACGACACTGCCAGCCAACCCCCATCCCCTCCCTTCCGGGGAAACAGCACGGCGCTCCTATGCGACCGAGAATGCAATGGGGTTGCGCGCGCGCACCTGGAGGCGCCACTTGAAGACCCAGCGCGGGTCCGCCACCTGGATGACCACCCACGCGCCCACCAGGGTGTCGAACGTCTCCGCGTAGTGCTCCAGGAAGGCGTTCACGGGGATGAGCTGGAGGGGAGCAAAAGGGGGGCTTGGGTTTTCAATACTGAAAGCAGAAGCATGCTTAAAGATGTGCATCCCAGAGGCAAGTCTGGCTTCTGAAGGGTCGAGTCGTTGGCGAAGCCTGGGCCGAGTATGAAGGAGGTGCAGTAAGCGACCATCGGAAAGAAGAGGACGGACAAAGTGCAGAATCCTTTTGACACCAGGCCGCTTGAACAGAGTCCTAATTTGGACGCTTAGAAAAACTTGGGCTTTTGAATAGATCAAGCGCAGCAGCAGGACGGTTTACACTCTGATAGCAGCACAGAACGACTTTGATCAAGGTGGTCAGATTTGGTTCATGGAACGGTATGGTCGCGGGATCGTTGTGATCACTCGACGACGAATCACGACATTGCGGTCAAGGCCCGCGCTGGCTGCCAGACAGCGCTGGCAAAAGATTCCTCTACATCGAGAGAGGAAGCGCCGCCTTCCAAGGAGGGCGCGCAATGGCGGCTCAGCTTGGGATGAGGCCTCGCACAATCAGGCTTCAACTCTGACAGCATCATGGCAGCTCTTCAAAAGGCACATGTCCAGTGACTTACGAGAGGTGCTCGGGCGACGGGTTCACTCTGGGGTTACAGTGGATGCGGGTGCACAAGTCCGGGTTTCACGTTTCACTTTTGGTGCCCGGCTTCTTTGAAGAAGAAGTCATTGATGATCACCGGTATGCCAAACGCTGCCGGGTCAATGTCCTCACCTGCTGGTCCACGTCTGCCACTTGCTGCGTTGGCACCGGCCGGAAGCCAAGCATCCAGCCCTCGAACAGAATCACCTCCAGCGGGCCCTTCACCTCCGGCCACGTGGCAGGATCTGCGCGGTCCCCTCGGCCCTGGTTCGCGGACTGGATTGTGGCGAAAGAGAGATACGGGTCAGTGAACGCTGATGTAGGAATGTGACGGCAGAGTTGGACTACTAGGTGGTTGGAGGGGATACAAGTGCCGCGGGGGAGCAATCCCCTCTTTCCGGTTTCGGGATCTTCTCTTTCAATTGAGTATTGCACGACGTTGTATGCAGTGTGATTTAGAAGGAGAAAAGGAACCGGTTAGGTGTTATTTTCTTCGACAGGGGAGTTGAAGGGGGAAAGCAAGGACGATGCCGGTCCTTAATCGCATCAACACAAGATCCTAATTTGATCGGCCATGCTCAGGGCGTCAGAACGTGTGCACCTTTTATCCAAGAAACAGCTCAAGGCTGGTCTTGGAGAACGTACCTTGTCGTATCTTGGTACCTTCGCCGTCGAACCTGCGAAAAGAGACCAATGCTGTTAGGCAATATTCCTGGCTTACTCTAGCAACGAATGCCCGGAACTTTCAAGATTCCTACCGTGTAGCAACAACGTCCGAAGCTGTCCGCTTCTCGAGGCATCCTTTTGACGGAACGTGAAATCCGCCGGCTTTTAAAAAGCTATCACCGGCACATCTAACCGTGTCCAGCTCTGATTTGGAAAAGGCCAGTGCCAGAAACTATCTAAGAGTCGTGCCATCATTGCGTTTGATCCCCTACCTCTTTCCGTGAGCTTGAGCAGCGTCTCTATGCTCTGACGGCCGAACTCCATGTCATGCGACCCAGCATTGCCCCGGAACTGCGCAAACGAACGGAATGTTTGAATTCTTGTGAGCACACAGGAAATGAAAGAGTGGGAACGTCGGAGGATCCACCACTGACTCTCCATGTACAGACGCCCGTACGCATTCAGTTGAGCCGAAAAGGCAACCGGCATCTGCTAAGGCTCAACCCTGCTGAATGACAGTCCTTAGCAACCAACTCCCATACTCATCCGTGGAACCTGGAACTTTGAAACGGGACCTTCGACTGTCGAGCATTGTGCCTCTCGTTCTCGCGTGAATCCGCTCATGATAAAGTCTGTATCTTAACATCAAGGTCAATCCTCCACACTCAAAAGGAGCCCAATACGAGTCTACGAGGACGTCGGAATTGCATAAGCGGGCAGAGGCCCAGCTCGAGCCTGCCGAAGCACGTGCCTGGAGCAGCTTGTTCCCCTCGTAGAACTCGGCCATGCGGGACTGGTCCACGGCTGTCAGGTAGAAGTCGTCCAACGAGATGCCCGCGCAGTGGCTGCGCAAGGAAGCGCGCGTGTCGGCCAGAACAATCTCAAATAACCAGCTTGATCATATACTCGACCGCAGGAACGGACCCTTGATACAGTAGTTTTACGTTCTACGGCAGCATGTCATGTGGAGGCAGATATGTGCTTACCTTCCGACGTACTCAAACAAGGAGGTGAGCTCTTCGACAATGGTCGATTTCCCGCAGCCCTGGGGAGCGCTGATGCCAATCTGCATCATACAAAGAGGAGCCTCACACAGCTGTCCGGGCAGGGCGGAAGCAGCAACACATTGGTCCTAGAGAATCGACCAGGTCTCTACAAGTCTGAAAAAAGCAAAGCGGACTCCGAACAGTTGGGGGCCGGAAGACGTGTCCCTCTTCGATTGCAGTAACGCTAGCCACTTTTGGGAGCCTGTTGAGAAGCCGCCAATATCAAATCCTTATGGCAGGATGTGAAAGCCGACTGTAGAAGATGGAAGCATCTACAGCAAGAGTAGCCTGCAGGCTCCTTCAATATCAGACTTTCAAACTCAAGAACCTCAGAAAAGGCTGCTTCAGCGTCCTCACTACGAGTGGGGGCGGGCTGGCGCCATCGGGCGCCTCATGCCTCTGCCGGTGCTGCTCCAGCTGGGCTCGACACCAGAAGAAGGTGGGGAGGTAGTAGTGGAAGATGCGCGACTTCTGAGCCTCGTCCAGAGCGGCGGGGTCAAAGCCCAGGTCTGTGCACACTTTGACCCCAAGGTCAACCCATGATGATAGGCCCTGCAGCAAGATAAGAGGGAGCGTTGAGCGAGTTAAAATCCTCAGACGATCATGATTGAGTTGTGGGAGATGCTAGCTGGTGCAGGGTACAGCCTCCGACCAATCTGGTGATTTGTAGTGCGGGGTGTGGCGCGTTTTGTTTGAGTTCTGGCTACATTGGAGTGGCCAAGCTTCAAAAGAAGGGTCAACAGAAAAGATTGCAACGAAGGTGCATTCAAAATGCAATGTGCTGGGATAAAGTAGCTTTAAGATTGAAAACTTGTGACAAAGAGAGAGCTTCTGAAGCATAGATACATGGATGGCCTCACGGCAGGCTCGCGGCATGTTTTCCTGATTCCATACCACTGGCATCAACCAACAATCAGCTTGACCAGCCAACCAATGTGACAAGGCTGCAGAAGCTGTCTGCAGTTTGTCTGCGAGCAACGCCGCAACGATTGGTGCAAGCTGAGGTTCTGCTGCGCTTACCTCTGTGACACTCCTCTGATTTGCCCCAACCTTTGACAGCAAGGGCCCCTGGCAAATGTAAGCTACCAGGTCTGGTACCGTTTGGAACACAGTGGATATATCTGGCGTTCGCTCAGGATTGTCGAGGGCTTCGACTCGACTTAGGCATAACCTTTTATTCAGCCCCTCAAAATGTCTTCGCTGCCAACTTCTTCCGCTAACACCTTTGACTGGCCACGCTTGACCGGGCAGTCTCAAACCAGCTGCTTGCTTTGGATTTGTAAGCGAAGTATACAATTGGAGAGGTGAGAAGCACTCAATGCTGCCAGGGTTGCAGGTGGATTGTTGAAGGGTCAATGGCTTTCCGAGCACGAATGTGGGGCCCAGCTGAGCAGATAATGAAGCCTTCATATCTGGATAACAGCACTTCCTTCCCAAGAATGCGCTGTCCACTCCTTAGAAAGGAATGCAGTGTGCACCGAATCTGCGGCCAATGCCACGGAGCCTCATGACGATGCTACAAACTCTCTCGTCTCCTTAGTACACGGAGCTTCTAGGATTATACCAGCAATATGCGGGCAGTACAACAAGAAGACGGACCTTAAGAAACGCACAACCATTGAAGTGCATTTGAAGCATTTTCACAACTTTGGCAGCCTGGACCCAACGCAAGAACAGCTTGATCTGGAATTCTCAGTAGGTCTGTACAGCAACTTCACTGACATCAGTTCCCCAGTGGCGGCAGCCCAGCGCAGGCTACCTACATCATCATGCTGGCAGTGGAGATGCTGGCGAGATGCTGGCCGGCACGATGCATTTTAAATACCATGTGGATACCGTGTCGTGCCGGCTCTTTGGCCGGGCAAGCAGAGGGGCTGTCGAGTAAGGGCCTCGAACAGTGCCGCTTCGTCAGGTCATGACTTACGGTATGTTACCGTCGTGCACCGCATTGGCGCGACACCCCTGGGCGCTGTGAGATGATTGAGTGAACTAGTAGGGGTGAGATCGGATTCAGCTTTTGCATACATGCGATCCTTTCTCATTGGAGGAGCCCAGGGCCATGGCGGCGAGCAGCTGATTGAGCTCATTCCTCATTTCAAGCAGGATGGCCACCTCCTCGAGTCTATTGAGAAGCACTCTTGCTCAAGCCTTTGCCATTGGCCCCTCTCGTCTTTCTGATGGGATTTGCGGCCACAATGGTACCCGTCCTGTGCTCCCTCAGCTGCCCCCCTCCACACCCCGGCGTGCTCCGCACGGGCTTTCGCCGCTGCCCAGTCGAGGGGGCCCATGTTGCATGGCGGGGGATGCAGCGCAGGGGCTGACGTACCGGGACGCTGGCGTGGACATTGATGCGGGGGCGGAGCTGGTGCGCAGGATTGCCAAAATGGCCCCCGGGATTGGCGGTTTCGGGGGCTTGTACCCTTTTGGTGAGCAACACCAGGCCTTGGGCCACTGACGCGCATCCTTGCGTTGGGGCGCACTCTTTGATTGTATGGTGGCGCCAGCTGCAAAGGGGGGCCGTGACTTGCATTTAAAGCGGTAGTGCAGGGCACTGCAATGGAGGATGCTGGCGGGTGCAGGACTGCTTGGAAGGTGTGTGTTCCGTGCTGCTTGCGCGTGGGGTGACCCTGGGGGCGGTGGTGGCGCGTGTGCAGGCGACTCGTACCTGGTGGCGGGCACGGACGGCGTGGGCACCAAGCTGAAGCTGGCGTTTGAGATGAACAAGCACGACACCATCGGCATCGACCTGGTAAGGCCCGTGCCGTGCGCACGCTTTGCCCGCGCACATTGGGGCATGAGCTGGGCTGTTCAAAGGCGGATGTCGGGGTGGTGTGTATGGATCCTGGACTTTTGGCAGGTGTATCTGCGTCCGAGCGCTAGCTCTGTGCCTTGAACAGGGGTGTGCTGATTTGATGCAGGTGGCCATGAGTGTGAACGACATCGTGACCAGTGGGGCGCAGCCTCTCTTCTTCCTCGACTACTTTGCCACCAGCCACCTCGATGTTGATCAAGCGGAGCAGGTGCACCCCCCCCCCCTCCCTCGCCCCACCCCCTGCTTGCTGCCAGCTCCCCGCTTGGACTGCACGTGTGCACAGTCGACTGCCTGCCGGCCCCGCCTGCCCGCCGCGCCCTGCCCCTTCTTGCCCTGACCCATGGCTGCCGTGCAGGTGATTGCGGGGATTGTGGAAGGCTGCCGCCAGTCTGAGTGTGCCTTGCTGGGAGGGGAGGTGAGCAGCCCGGCATGCTTGACCTGCTCTCCCGGTGCCTCATCCCTGCCTTTGTGGCCCCCTGTCTCTGCCAGATCGCTCACTTCCTGGGGCCGTCTCTCCTCGTGCCCCCCCCAGGCTACTCCGTCTCGCGAAGGCCGCGCACTATAACTGTGTCGCTGCGTGTGCAGACCGCGGAGATGCCCGACTTTTACAGCCCCGGGGAGTACGACCTCAGCGGCTTTGCCGTGGGCTCTGTGGCCAAGGCGGCTCTGATTGACGGCTCGCGCATTGCTGCGGGGGACGTCCTGCTGGGGCTGCCCTCCTCGGGGGTGCACTCCAACGGCTTCTCCCTCGTGCGCCGGTGCGGGGCCCACGCCCTGCCCTCCTCTCCCGCCACTCTGCATGGGCCCCCTTTGGACTGCTACGCTGCCTGCTGTGTCCTTCTCTGGCGCTTTCTGTGAGGGGGGCCAGAGGGCCTTGCCTCGTGCGCTTTGCCGGGCTGCCCCTCACACGCCTGCTGCTGCCTGCTGCAGGGTGCTGCAGGTGGCAGGTGCGTCCCTGAGCGACCCCCTCCCGGGCGCCGAGCCGGCGTGTACCATTGGGCAGGCCCTGCTCGAGCCCACCAAGATCTACGTCAAGCAGGTGAGCTGCCCCCCAGGCGCATCCCGTGGCCCTCCCCCATTGCCAGACGCCGCCGCGCCTCTTAACCCCTGGCAGCTGGGTTGGCTGCTTTGCTGGAGGCTGGTTGGCAGGGTGCCCCTCTTGGCGTGGGCTGCGCTGGCCGCGGGCTGATCCTGGGCGCGCTGGCTGCGCGGCGCGGTGCAGGTGCTGGGCTACCTGGCTCGCGTGCCCATCAAGGGCATCGCCCACATCACGGGCGGCGGCTTCACCGACAACATCCCGCGTGTGCTGCCCGCGAGCCTGGCCGCCCAGGTGGACATGGCGGCCTGGCAGGCCCCGCCCATCTTCACGTGGCTGCAGCAGGTACGCCCTCTGCCCTCGCCCCCTCTGGTGCAAGACCGTGTCAGCAGGGAGCGGCAGGGAAGGGTGGTGGCTTCGCTGGCCACTGCTGATGGGCAGTCGGAGAGCCCCGTGACAAAAGATGAGGCAGGCTGGGTGGACCCAGCGACCACCCAACTTCAACTTCCCCGCCATTGCATAGCTGCGGCTAGCGTCCGCGGCCAGGGAGCCTTATGGAGACTTTGGATTGGTCGAGGGGGAAAGGATCGTCCAGCCGAACCAAAGCCTTGCAGTCGGGCAAAGCAGGAGTTCTCGACTGGCCTACCCTAAGAGCTTCATTGTCCTGATTGTCCCAGAACGCTTCGACCTCCGGTAAGAGCGGACGGTTACAGGTGTGATTGACCAGATTCTCGATTGCCATCTCGCAAGCCTGGGCTGTCGATCGATTGGAAGCCTCGGCCAGCACGTGTGAAGGCAGTCTAACTTTCGTGCTGGCGCGCAGGCGGGCGGCATCTCGGATGCGGAGATGCGGCGGACTTTCAACCTGGGCATCGGCATGGTCCTCGTCGTGGATGCGGCCGCCGCGGCTGACCTGCTGGCGAGCAGCAGCGCCGCCGAGCCGGTGGTGCGCCTCGGGGAGGTGGTGCCGGGGGAGGGCGTCCTGTACGCGCCATGGTGACAGCCAGCGGAAAGGCGGCCTGGCAAGCGTGAGTAGCGGACAGCAGCACACGAGCGTCCATCGCATACGGCGAATTAAGCGGGACCATAGGACTCTAGCCCCTGCCTGGAGCGTCTGTAAGCGAGCTGTTGTGGACCTCTGTAATAGGCAGCTACAGAGTCTTCAGCACCTGAGGAGAACTAGGCAAACGTTATAGACTGGCTTTGACATGCTTTTGGAACGTCCCGTCAAAAATCGAGCGCTGCAGTCCTCAGCTCTATTTTGTATCTCCGCCACAGTTGACCTGCCAGCTGCACGCCGTACCTCATGCCTTACCTCAAGTCCATCCACTTATCTCAGTGGGCTGTGACGGCTTAAGCCGCCGTTTCGCAATTGAATTGCCTACAGTGTAGCAGCGGAGCTGTTATCTGCTATTCCGATGTGAGACGGTCGGATCAATCGTCCGCTCGCATTATTCTGGATCATACTTCTTTGCCGCAGAGACAAGTGCATGTACCTTGCATCCTCCAGTAGATGCAGGCCTGTGCAACAGTCTTCAATCCATCCGCTTAGATGTGAGCTGCGGTCATCGAGTTATGAAACAGCATATGAAGTACTGTAGCGTTTGCAGAGCGACGGTTGGTCGATCATGCACACAGTCGCTGGGGAACTGAAAGAATCAGGCATGGATGCACTTGCACGCGTGAATGCATCGGCAACTTTCATCCGTCAGCATGGTCAGGAAGACCATGTTGCCGACGATGTGAAACGAATTTAAGATTTTGCACGCGGATATCGTGCACGTGATACCATAAACTATATACGAATCCAGAATTGCAATTTGTGTCCCAGGACCTGCATGAGCAACTTGTTTCAGCAAATGGGCTGCACTAAGCGTACTTCATCCCGGTTCTGTGTGTGCTGATTCGAGCTAGGAGAACGAAAAGCTAACGGCGATCCGAGAGCAATGGAATGATACCTGGTGGTTTAGTCAGTCGAGCTGCTTGCCTATAGTTTAGCCTGGTTGTCTGTCCAAGCGTTCGCCAGATTACCCAATGGCCTACTGCGTTCGGGATGCCAAGGTAGAAGGCTTCCAGCTTGCGCAAACTCCACCAGCATAGACGGCACTGATCTTGCACAAGATCCAAATACATTGCGAGCTGCGTCGAGTCGCTGCCCTTCTTCGTCCGCTGCCAGCCTTCTCTATGTTCTTGCTCGGTGGTGCCCTGCGCGCGCTCTGGCCGCTAGTCCAGCACGGGGAAGCACTTGACCAGGATGTCCACTGCGCGGTCCAGCTCCTCGTTGGTGATCACCAGCGGCGGCGCTAATCGCACGACGTCGCCCGCCCCCGCCGTGATGACCAGCAGGCCTGCGTCCAGGCACGCGCTCACGAGCGGCCCCGCGGCCACGTCGAGCTGCACGCCCACCAGCAGCCCCGCGCCGCGCACCTCCTTCACGTGCGGGTTGTCCCCCAGCCGGCTGCGCAGCGCGGCGCGCAGGCGCTCCCCCTTGGCAGCCACGTTCTGCAGGAAGCCCGGCTCGAGGATGCGCTCCAGCACCGCCAGCGCGGCCGCACACACGAGGGGGCCCCCAGCAAACGTGCTGCCGTGGTCGCCCGGCTTCATTGCGTCCGCCACCTTCTGCTTGAGCAGCACTGCGCCAATGGGCAGGCCCCCCGCCAGCGGCTTGGCTAGGGTCATCATGTCCGGCTCCACGCCGTAGGCCTCGTGCGCAAACAGGCGCCCCGTGCGGCCCAGGCCACACTGGATCTGCAGCACGCAGGCGAGGCCAGGGTCAGCAAGCACATTGGGAAAGGAAGAGAGGCTGCACCAGTATCCTGGGCAACCTGCCACGGAGAACAGTCCTGCCTCCATTGATCGTTGACGCACACAGGGCCCCTTGGGATGTCCCCGCCTGCAACAACATTCAAACAACGTGGGGGCAGGGCTGCCCCGCAGAGCCCAGCTGCTTCTCCTGCTTCAATGAGACTCTCCCCAGCTGCTTCCCAAAGGCGCAGCTGGCAAACATGCCATCATCACTGTTCTGGGCCCCTGCTGGGCCTGATACTGTCATTGGCCAGCACTCCACGCGCCCCGCTGACGTTTCGCTGTCTGTCTCTGCCTGCTGGCGTGGCCTCACCTCATCAAACACGAGCAGAGCGTTGGCGTCGTCGCACAGCTTGCGCAGGCCGCGTAGGAACTCTGCGGTGGCCGTGTTGACGCCGCCCTCCCCCTGCACTGGCTCCACAAACACAGCCGCCGTGTGGCCCTTGCGGATGGCAGCCCCCGCGGCGGCCAGGTCCCCGTACTTGACAAAGTCCACGCCGGGCATGACCGGCTCAAACGGGGTGCGGTAGTGCTTCTTGCTGGTCAGCGCGAGCGCGCCCATGGTGCGCCCGTGGAAGCTGTTGCTGAAGCTCACAAAGTGCGTGGCCGGCTCCAGCTCCGTCAAGCGCAGCCAGCGCTTGGGGCCCTCCTCCTTGGCGACGCCGCGCGCGTACTTGCGCGCAAACTTGATGGCCGCCTCGTTGGCCTCCGTCCCGCTGTTGGCCAAGAACACGCGGTCTGCAAAGCTGTGGCGCACCAGCGTCTCCGCGAGCTGCACCTGCGGCACGCTGTGGTACAGGTTGCTCACGTGCGTCAGCAGGCCCGCCTGCGTTGTCACCGCCGCCAGCCACGCCGGGTCGCTGTGCCCCAGTGCATTTACCGCGATGCCCGCGGCCATGTCCAGGTATTCGCGCCCCGCCAGGTCCACCAGCGTGCTGCCGTAGCCGCGCGCAAACACCACCGGCGCGCGCGCATATGTGCCCACGAACAGCGCCTTCTCCTTGGCAATCACCTCCTCCGCTTGCCGGCTGCCGCTCGCGCTCTGCGCCTCATCTCGCGCCAGCTCGTGCGCGGCCTCTGCGGCTAGGGTGTCAGACACAGGAGCCGCACTGCTCTGAGGGCACAGCAGCCGCGGCACCTGCGGCCGCCGCACCGGGGCAACAGAGAGCAGCGGCAATTGACGCAGCCCGCTGTGCAGAGGGAAGGGAGCAGAAGGGGCAGCAAGATCAGCAGCCCCCGCACCGAACCCTGCGAGGCTACCTACCGAAGAGGCCCTGGACACCACAGCCATGACGCGCGGGCCCTGCACAGGCGAAACACTCCGGCCCTGCAAGTGACTTTTGCCCGTCCCTGCTTCGCCGGCGGAGCTGCCAGAATGGGCCTCCCTGTCGTCTGCCTCGAGCAATTCTTGTCCGATGGCCGTCTGATTTTATGTACGCGCAGATCGCATGCTCGATGGCCACCTCGAAACGCTAGCCTATGCTTGGCAAGGGAGTATACGGTATACGGTAGCCTGTCCTGCACAAGCTGCAACTCCGACTTCTGATTCCGAGCTACGGCTGCTACCGCCGCCGGTTCACCTTTTCCTTTGTCTTTGAGGTCCGATCGCACCGGAAGTTTGTTTGCTGTTGCAGCTCCTGGTTGGCTGCCCCGGCAGGACGACCCAGCTGAACGTAGCACTTGAAAGAGAGCACCAGGGCCCGGAATGCAAGAACGGACCGCCCAGCGCCGTATGTGAACGCGGCCGAT